CGGCAAACGGCAGCGGTGGTGAGTCTGAGCGTCGCTGCAGACCTGGCTCGATGGGGGTTGACTGCCCAAATACCCCACACCCCAACCTCCCCGCTTTGCTTGGGGTTGGTCACAGGACAGCCCTTTAGGATCTAAAGGCCAGAACATTCAGCATCCGCAGTGGAAATCTTTCCAGGGGCCTCCCTACCGCTGCCAGACTGAAGGTGTCGCTAGGAAAGAGCTCCCCAGAGGCGGAGAGCCACCCAAACCCTGTAAAGTTAATGCAGAGGAGCGTGCATCTCCGGTAACGACAGAAAATTTCCCCAAGCAGGGGGATGCTACTAAAACGCGCTCAGTGATGCCGCTGGCGGCGAGGCAGACTGTTTGGCTACGGAACTACTCCCAAAGTACCGGGATGTCCTCCTGCCATCCTCAGTGCCTGACGTTCAGGTTGATTCCCTGAGCCTGCCAAAACTCCAGTGACACGTGCGGGTTAGTTCCAGCTTTGCACGGCATGCGGATTAGTCCGGAGTACCAGCGCTGCGGGAGGCTGCAGCAGTCCACCCCACTGCCTGCTCCGTCCCTGCCACTCAGGCGGGGGGGGGGGCCCACTGCCTGCTCCGTCCCTGCCACTCAGGCCGGGGGGGAAGTGCCAGCGAGCGCAGCTATCGCCCCTACGGCGATTGTTAGTGGCCAGCACAGCCAAAGGCTGTACCCGTCCTCCTGCCCCACCGCAGGCACCGACCTCTTCGAGGGCAAGGACAGACCTGCACAACCTAACGGGGACAATGAACACGAACACAAGGAACCTGCAGGAAGTGTCCTGGGACAGAGGAGACGGGGGCTGAAGGAGCCTACGCATGCAAACCAGCGATGCCCGAGCGAGCGCGTGGCACATGCATTACAGCACCCTGGAACAGCAACAGCAGCAAACCCCACCCCGGCGTGCAGCCCTTTCCGCGCCACGTGGGTTAGTCCATTCCCAGGTTACCAGACAAATGCCCCCTCCGCAACAGCTCTACAGAGACCAAGCAAGCGCCCCCTTTAACCGCTTCCACCCGGGAAGGATCCCGGCCTCGACCAGATGATCTTTGGAGAGGGAAGGGGCTTTGTAACTGCCTCATCCAAGATAAACTGCCAGCTGAAATTCCATTCTCCAGGAAACTGAGGGGAAGATCAGTAACACCTCCTTTCGACAGTCCCCCTGCAGTAGTTTGATTAACGTCCACGAGGTTGTAAAATCCAAGGGAAGTTGCAGCAACAGCCCTGACACCCACCGGGAAGCCCGTGCAGACACTGGGCAGTACAGGCTGCAGTCACTCACGCTGGTGAGCAACATGCAACAGCCTTGCAAAGAAAAACCAGCTTCCCACTCCACTTTCTTTGGTACCAGCTGGTTTCCTAAGCGTGCTGACCAGTGCGCCTCCACCCGGGACTTGCTCACCCCCCACACCCCAGGACCCCGCCGAGGCGGGAGAGGAGAGAGTGCTTACGTTAACGTCACAGCGCTCTCCCGTGTAGCTGGCGCTGCACACGCACTCGTACTTGTTCTCCGAGTCTTGGCACGTCCCTCCGTTCTGGCAGGGGTTTGGCTCGCACTCGTTTATGTTGATCTGACAACTGGAAAGGAAAAGCGCGTTAGACCTTGGTTTCTCACATACGTTCTGGTGCCACGTAACAACACTGTGCAGCCGACAAAAGCCCCAGTTATTTATAAAGTTCCTGTTGCATCTTTTCCAGGTGCTTTCAGGCTCCAACAAGGTGCCATTTTTACCCATCCCAACCGATCCCCCATCCGTCATGTCTGCGTGACTGCAGCCAGCACGGGCGCCCGGCACAGGTACCGCGCGGACGCCGTTCACGCTGCGAAAGCCGGTGTCGGCAGACCACATCAAGCCTGCCCCTTCTAAAAACAAGCGCTGGCTTACAGCTTTGGAGCGCTTGCTGGAATGGCAAAAGGACATGGCAGAGGCCGGAGCATCGGAACCTGCTCAGCTGTCCCCCCGATGCAGGAATTGGAGCACCAGCCCTTCTGCAGGCAGCAGAAAACAGCACTCACGTCCTGCCGGTGAATCCGGGCTTGCACGTGCAGTTGGCTCCCCAGGGCTCGCTGACGCACTTGCCACCATTCAGACAGGTGAAGTTCTTCCCACACTGCGCCGGGGGGAACGGCCACCTGGGAAAAGCAAGGGACAGCCCTAAAGCGACCCGCTGTGGGGGAGCATACAGACGCGGCGGAGCCTGGGCTGGCGAGGGTCGCACGCACAGCCACCGGGCTCCTCCGCCCCCTGCGTCAAACCAGCCAGGCACTTACTCGCAGCGAGGTCCCGAATGCTGAGG